ACAAAAGTCCTCCTGTTCTGCGCTTCTGAGTTGGAGCCTGGGGACGAGGCTGCAGCTTTACACTATCAGTACTTCGTCGAGTTTCGCTTGTTTAATAATTCTTGATCGTTCAATCTACCAGTTTTCAAGTACATGAACACAACCCATTGTTTTGGCCCTGTATTATTTTAGCTGTTCAACCATGTTTGTTTATTGTAAGTGCTTGAGTCAAAAGATTAACTGTCTTAGTATGCTCTAAAGGAAAGGAAAAGGAAATTAAAAGGGAAAGGAAACTCATTCCCATCCGGTCGAAAAGTGGCAATTTCGAGTGGTGTTGTTTTAAACGCATATATCTTTCAAAGTATACATCGTACGAGAATAGAAATTGCATCGTTCGAAAGAGGAGGACTTCTGCTTTCTAACGATACCAATTTCAATTTCATCCGGGGCTTGGTTAACGATTTACTCGCATAAATTTGCATAAATTATGATATAAAAAAATGTTGCAATTATGCATAAATGTATTTAGCGGCTCAAATTTCAAATATGTCAAAAAATTTTATGAATATGACTGAAAGACACGGTTATGATCTACAAGTACCCGAAGTTTCAAGCATGTAGCATAAATAGAAATATTTTTATTGGATTTTTTTATAAACTAGGTAGTGGAGTAAAATTTACATTTTGTGCTCACATGAAACAAATACCTTTATCAAAGGTCCTTTTTTATTGCTGCAACATGTTGTCAATACAAATTTCCAATATTTCTTACTCTCCAAAGATAGTATGGCACCAAAATAAGTCTGTGATACCCACAAAAGAACACTCAAATCATGATTAGCAAAATGTCTTTATTTCTACAATTACTACATACATTCTTAGATAATCATTACACCATTGACTTTAGTTATTAGTGGCATATCCAGCCTCAAAATTTGGTCATGCTATTCAAATTTGAAATAATCACTACTCAATTGTTTAGAAATTGATTGTTTCACAATCTAGAACATGAAAATATTTGCAAATAGCATGACCAAGTGTTGTTAGGCTGGCATCATCATAATTAGTAGTTATAAAAAAGGAGGTCGGCTATATTGCGAGTTGCGAGTCTGCGAGTCTGCGAGTTGCGAGTCTGCGAGTCTGCGAGTTGCGAGTCTGCGAGTTGCGAGTCTGCGAGTTTACGGTGTGGATTTATTGCCTCGAAAACGCTCACTTAAGTGTAATTTTGTGTGCTTTGACGAATTGATCTTATATTTTATACTTTGACAGACAGACTCGTTTCGCTTTTTCGAATTTCTCAAATTTTGGCGGGAAAATGACGTCATCGTTTTGGCGCCAATATTTTGTTTAAGTGTTAAGACTTCCTTTGTTAATTTTTCTAAAATAAGAGGCTATATTATCTTCTAAACCGAAACAATAATTGAATTATCTTAATTCAATCAAGAGTTATAAAGGATGGAATTTTCAGATTTGGGCTATTTTGGGCTATTTTTAGTAACAAAATGGCCGAAATCTGAACGTTCCATCCGTTATAACTCTTCATCGAATAAAGATAATTCGATTATATTTTCGGTTTTGAAGTTTACACAACATATAACTTTTGAAAAATTAACTAAGGAAGTCTTAACACTTAAACAAAATATTGGCGCCAAAAGGAAGACGTCATTTTCCCGCCAAAATTTAAAAATTCGAAAAAGTGAAACGAGAGCATTTCTTAGAATGAAAAGATCTGTCAAAGTAAAAACTTATACTTTGACAGATCTTTTCATTCTAAGAAATGCTCTCGTTTCACTTTTTCGAATTTTTAAATTTTGGCGGGAAAATGACGTCGTCCTTTTGGCGCCAATATTTTGTTTAAGTGTTAAGACTTCCTTAGTTAATTTTTCAAAAGTTATATGTTGTGTAAACTTCAAAACCGAAAATATAATCGAATTATCTTTATTCGATCAAGAGTTATAACGGATGGAACGTTCAGATTTCGGCCATTTTGTTCCTTAAAATAGCCCAAAATAGCCCAAATCTGAAAATTCCATCCTCTATAACTCTTGATTGAATTAAGATAATTCAATTATTGTTTCGGTTTAGAAGATAATATAGCCTCTTATTTTAGAAAAATTAACAAAGGAAGTCTTAACACTTAAACAAAATATTGGCGCCAAAACGATGACGTCATTTTCCCGCCAAAATTTGAGAAATTCGAAAAAGCGAAACGAGTCTGTCTGTCAAAGTATAAAATATAAGATCAATTCGTCAAAGCACACAAAATTACACTTAAGTGAGCGTTTTCGAGGCAATAAATCCACACCGTAAACTCGCAGACTCGCAACTCGCAGACTCGCAACTCGCAGACTCGCAACTCGCAGACTCGCAACTCGCAGACTCGCAACTCGCAGACTCGCAACTCGCAACTCGCAGACTCGCAACTCGCATATTAGACAAACTCATAAAAAAGTAATGTTTTCCAAGGCAGTAATGTTTGCTAAAGCAGTAATGTTTGCCAAAGCACATAATTGGATTATGTGGTGAAAATATTTCCTTTATATTGTACTACAAAAGACCTAAGACTGTACCCAAACTGATATCAGATCACCACGTCATACCCAAATCCGTTGCGATGAATATCTGGACTTCTTCCTGTATAAATTTCAAAGTCGCAATATAACCATTAGGATTGTCTGCAGCAACCCACAGATTTATCCCCCACATAGTAGGTCATCTAGCTTTCATGAACTGCCTAATCCCCAACCTATTTCTTGATTTGACAGACGTGTGTTTGTCTGCAACAACAATATTCTGTGACGGTTGGTACAGTTGTTGATGCAGTTTATTGCTGTAGTCTTTAGTACAGGATCTACCATATTCACAAACGCTATAAGCGCTTTGTACCTAACCCGAGAAATTATTTCTATTGCCCACAGACTATGATATAAGGTTTTTACACTCCAATAATTTTCAATCTCACTGTCGACCTTTAGCAATCCTGCATATACTAAAAGGCAATCAACCTCTCAAGGTTGGTGGACTGAAAGACCCTTTTTTATTAGTATATGGGGATAACTTTTGAGTTATTTGTATGTGGGCATATGTATTGGTATGGCCAGGAAACTACCTCCTGTTCAAAGCATTCCCTTAGTATTAAAAAGAGTCGAATGATCTCAAGCTCACAGTTCATTGAGCCAAATGAACTCAAGCTCACAGTTGATCGAAATGGATCCTGGACATGTCAGGGAGGAGCAAAATCTGGGAGAATATTCCTAGCGTCAGGATCATCATATCCGCCACGTACTATGGGGCCTAGTGGGGATGCTAGACAGGGAGCATTCGAAACCTTAGGTCCTAATGGCTGGGCTTCCCTCTACCTCTACTCATCCCCCTACCTTCCCTCTGGGTTGGGGAGTGGGGTTCTCATGACTCATCAGCACTCTACTTCCCTGAGGCTATGAAACAGGAACAGCAGATAGGAACAGGATCAATATATTCATCAGTGCAAATAACAACGTTTTGTATAGACATGGTGGCACTTAAAATTATAATAAGAGCCAAACTAGTAAGATATAAGTATGAATACTTGGCTATTATGTATGTAACAAACAACCAAACATGTGCTCAAGGCTCATTTTACTTCGCCTAGGAATCAGAGATTTTTATGCCTAAAACACCATAAATTTTCGTCAACAATATAAATAAATACCATTTATATTTGTCAATTTCAGTATGAAACGATTATTTCAACACGGAAAAGCGATATGAGGACATACTTGGTCGTACTAGTGAAGCTATACTATAAATACAAATAAATTTACAACGCCATGGCAACGGCAAAACATTGAAATAGAAATTATCTAGAAATGATACAAATACTTGCCTTGAAACTCCAGACACGACTCCCAATGCCAGGTTGAGATACTTGTCTTCATACGAAGACATTCCATCATTACTAGCACTATCAGTTTGCAATATAAAGCCAAAAACGTCTTCAGAATGCGATTCAAACAAAACTACAACACAATACATTTCAACGGAACGGGCTATTCAGATCTTCCACAATGGATTTGCCAAATTTCCTGTTAAGATGCTGAAAAATCCTTTTTTCTGAAACAATTTCCCTGCCAAAATCACCTAATTTCCTTGCAAATTCCTTGCAAATATCCTAAAAAATAACTGATTTTCTGTACTCTATTGCACGAGTAAAGACCACATGGCTTTAGTAGTGCCCATTTTGCCCATTTTCGCACTTGTTGCGCGTTCAGAGGAGTTTTCCGAGTTTCCGTACTCCTGTGCTTACGATGACAAACTTTCTAAATTATTATCACCGAATGACCGATATATCTGATAATATATTTAAATTATCAAATTAAATAAAATATGAACTGTATATTTACAAAACTACTTTTCAGTAGTAAAACATCGCTAAAACATCCTTTCAAATATCGCTTAGCTGAAGGAACTTAACACCGTTACATAGTTCACTGGTAACCCGCATAAGTTATGTTCTTTAGTCAAGTTAGTCATTCTGAACTCTGAATTCAAACGTTCTCTTCACTGAATAATTCGTCAAGAAATTTCTTTCTTAACTCTTTGGCTTTTTCATCAGTGGCACTTGCTTTCATTTTATCTGCAAGATCCAAAGCTCTTTCTTGGTTTCAAACGCGCAGACGTTAACTTGTCATTCTTCATTGCCATTCTACATTGAAGTAACGCCACTAATGATGACGACTTTAGAGATGTGCGGTGCTCGGTTTTGATTCGCTTCAGTATGCTAAAAACTCTCTCGACAGGTGCGTTGGAGAATGGAAACGAGGCAAGAATTTCAACAAATTTGGTGAGATTTGGATACTTGGGCTCTCTTGTAGGGGTTTTGGCATCTTTAACAATCTTCCAATATTCATCCCAATAAAGATCAGGTTTTAGATCATCTTCAAAAACATGTTCTCCATTCCAGATCAAGTTTCGCAGTATCCAGGATCTCATTTAGATAAGGTAACTTCTGGATGATTTGAACCAAAGACGGTGGGACACGAGCAGCCGCATTCCCTGGTGCAATACATGAAACAATGTCATGTATTTCTACTTCTAAATCAAATTTTTGCTTGATTTGGAGGATGCTTTCGATAAGAAAATTCTTGCAGTCGCTTCGAAATTTCTGTACGTCCTCCTGTTTTGCACCTGCTTTTATCTCATGCATAGTAGCAGTGGCTGCAACACCAACATAAACTTGATGCAGTGGTATGTGATGTCCGGCTCTGGTTGGATCGATTTCTTTTGGCTTGGCTTGCTTGACATACGCAATGGACATAAAATCGCTTGCAATTGATTTTATTAGCCCTTCAACTTCTTCTCTGAGGTTGTGTAAAAGGGGCCTTTCGCTTTGAAAGAGACGATTGAAAGCATTAAACGTTGAATCTGGTGGCTAAGGAATTCAGGGTAGGCGAGGGTGAACTTATTTTGAAGCGACTTGAGAATACGATCGTTCGAGTGTGTTGGGTCTTCATTTGCAACAAGAACAAAGTAATGCTCCAAGGCCAGGTACTGCTCTAAAATGCGGTTCACCCACGCTTCTAATGAAAGCCAGCGAGTTTGCCCGGGCGAGAGCAGTTTACGGGGCTCTGCGTCATAGAATTTCTGGAACTGCTGGTAGACTTCTTGTCTCTTGGATGAGCGATGAAAGTGGTTATATATGTCGCGAACCAAATCTTCTAATCCTTTTGGCAATTTCAGAGCGGCATAAGACGATACCAAATGAATTAAGTGGCATGAACATTTAACAGAATAAACGTTTGGGTACTCTGACATTAAGAGCTGAGAGACGGAGTTGAATTCTCCAAACATAACATTGGTCGTATCGGATGAGTAGCCAATCATTTTTTCCATAGGAATGTGCAGTTCGGCAAACACGTGCTTTACAGCCGAATAAATTCCTTCGGCCGTTCCATCTACAATTTCTGGCATGTCAAGCAAAAACGACTTGTACTCAAAACTTTGCATGTCAAAGTAAGTGGTTAATACAGCAAGTTGTTTTGCGGTGCTCAAGTCCGTTGTTTCGTCGATTATCAAGCTGTAACTATGGGATCGCAACGCTGAAATTGCTTCATGTAAATAGTCGAAACCGAGAACTTGTCGGACAACGTTGGTCGCTTTTTGTTTACCAAGCATTACATTTCTTAAAGTCTGGTTAAGCGGAAAGAGCGATCGAATAAATTTCACTACATCATCTGCGAGAGAAAGTGGCAGGTTGTGCTCTGCAATGAATGCACACAGTTTAATTTCCATCGAACTCGTTTCATCTCGGTTTGTGGCCCTGTTAAACAGACTGGTAATAGTCGAACAGCTAGCAGTACTTGTTGCATATTTGGTCTGGTGAGACTTACTGACTAATTATAAGTGACGTTTTAAACCTGTTTTCGTGCAAGTCACGAATCTATTGCATGTCTTGCAAAATGGTTGATTGGTTGTGGCTTTCTGTCAGTTCCAAGTCGCTTGGTAAGCCAGCCGCTAAATTGTTGTTCTGTCAACCAGCTATCCACAAAAGATTGAGTTTGTTTTGGTCGCTTTCGTTTTTTAGGAGATGGACAAGACGTCGACGTGACCGTACTGGTAGTAGCACTTTCTTGATTTTCACTGGTTTCACTTTCAGATTCGCTTTCTGACGAGGAAATCATCCACGTTCATGCCAACAAGTTTTATATTTGCATCACAATTCACAAATAATAATTATTGCAAATATATTTCAACTTTCAATTCAATTTTATTTCTGATATAAGCAATTTTCAAGATTTCCTCGCAATTTCCTTGTCCAGGCTCAAATTTCCTTGCCATTTCCTGGTAAATTTGATTTCCTTGCCCTTTTCCTTGCACAGGTTTTGTACAGGCCAAAATTTCCTTTTGCAGGGAAATTTCCCTGCAAGTGGAAGCCCTGGGGGGAGGAGCCAAAGCCAACATCAGGTCATCAGGGGAGGGTGGGTAAGGAGGTTAGCAAAATACGGTGAATACCAATATTATTCTCGCTGTTTGAATTGCTCACTATACAGTAAACAGGGAACAGAAATTTCGAAGAGTAATCGCGCGGGGCCCCCAAAAGTGGGGCCAGTGGCGTACGCCATATGGTTAATCCGGTACTGCCAAGGACCGCATTAATTTTGACCAGTCCTCTGGATCCAGTCCAAGGATCAAAATGAATCATTGATCCAATGACGTAACGCCAGTTTGGTGGATGGAAGGTTCGCGTATGTGAGCAATTTACTCATGAATTATTAATTACTTTTCCTATCTTCAACCTCGCAAGCCAGGGTAGTTTACTTCCGCACCAAGCGCAGGTAAAAGACCCTGGCTTGTATGGTCGTCCATTTGTTTCAAAATTCGCTAAATTCAATTCGCACTCGCTAAATTCAATTCGCACTCGCTAAATTCAATTCGCGCGAATGTAAATTTAGCGAGTGCGAATGTAAATTTAGCGAGTGCGAATGTAAATTTAGCGAGTGCGAATTGAATTTAGCGAGTGCGAATTGAATTTAGCGAGTGCGAATTGAATTTAGCGAGTGCGAATTGAATTTAGCGAATTTTGAAACAAATGGACGACCATAGGCTTGCGAGGTTGTCTTTTCACTGTGTTTGAAAATTTTGTGATTTCAGATCGATGGGAATTGGACGGGATGATATATTCAGGGAGGGGGCGGGTTAAATCAAAGGCCGTTGAGGTCGACTCACGGATGAGATCAAATGAAAGTGACAGAAAGAATTAGAGCAGTTTGCAGTTGCTTTTGCAAACGAGCACCGTGCGATTTTTGCCATTTGTATTGTTTGTATTGCCAAATTAATGCCAAATCAAAAGAACGAACGCGTGCTGCAGCCCGATTTCCGGTTATGAAAGATTCGCAGTAGTGATGGGCGATACTATCGAAAAAGTATCGAAATCATCGATACTTACAAAAGTATCGATACTTTCGATACTCGCAAAAAGTATCGGTAATTCGATACCACTTGAGCCTGCGTTGTTTTTGGTCAGTATTCCTGACCAATCACTTAATGCTTCATGAAGGCAACAGACTGAAGGCCCCTGAAGGCAAAAAATGTTGACATGATGCTGTTCTTAAACAAAAACATGTAGCTAATTAGCAATATATTTGAGGAAAACATTGTTGTTTTGATTTAAAATCATAATTGCAAATGTTATGTTCGATTAATTGGCAGGTACTCCAGTTAGAGTATTCTTTGACTTGTTTTAAACATTAATGTTCGTGTTTTAAAAGTTATTTTAATAAATGGAAAAAATTGAGTATCGGTATCGATTTTGGTATCGGTATCGACCAAAATTCATGGTATCGGACTGGTATCGTATCGAAACCAAAAAAGCTGGTATCGCCCATCACTAATTCGCAGGCTGAACAGTGTTCGCAAAGCAGGCTGGTCATTTCTCATTGTTTAACAATCTCGTTTCCAAAGTATGCCTGTTCGCGGGTTAGGTAGTGGCATGCCACATTAATTGTTTAACAAACATTAATTGTTTAACAGATGCTGTTGATTTCCAAGAATTGAAAAGCCTGAATATGACATCATTCCTCGACAAAATCCTGATATTTACCCATACATCTTACCGGAGGTTAGAGCTCGACAATTGTACTCTGTAGCTCAGTTGGTTAGCTGCACCGGCATCGCAAGGCCGTAGGTTCGACTCCTGCCAGAGGGTCTATAGTTGTATTTTTTCGCAATGCTCCTGGTTAGGTCTAAACAATTGTATAAAATTCACACTCGAAATTTCCATCCACACAATCCTTCATCAGAACTAGGACAAAATTCGAAATATATAGTTACGTACTGTAAAGTATAACTAAATTAGGGAGTGGTCATTATTTATGGGGAGGGGGCGGGCGGTTGGGAAATGGGAGGGGGGGGGCAAACGAAGTTTTACCCTTATAAATAGGGAGGGTCAAAAAAGTTTTAACACAGAGAAGGGGTCATAAACGTTTTTGAACTTAAATACCATGTCTAGAGTTCTGATTTCTATAATCACAAATAGCAAAAAAGAAGACTCTGAAAATGCTTTTTCCAACAATCTAGAGACTCAAAATTTTCAAAATTTCCCTGCTCGGCACCAACCATGGTAGCGCCTCGCGATCGTGGGAGTCGGGCCCACTAAGTTTAACAAGCTTTCTACCCCCTGAGTGACCCAGTTGTGGTATTTAAATAAACATACCATGCAAGTACACTTAACTGATCAGATTCGGTCTATCAATGCACAATGTAACGCTGTATATCCAAAAATCTGTTTCAGAAAATGCTCACATTTCAAGTTCTAGGGGTGGAAAATACAAAACATTTTCTGGGGAATAATACCCCCAGACCCCCCTACTAGTACATACCATACCACACCAAACTTTTTGTCGCCAACAACCATCTGTCATTTCTACACGGTTCTTAAAAAACCCTGTGTTCGAATCATTTCGCTGTATGAAGACGGGTGATGGTTTAGGGTTATCGTAGGACAAATGTTACATTGCAAAGTAGTAACACATAATATATATTTTTTAATCATATATAGTTGAATCATATTCACCAGGGTAAAACATCATGAGCTAGATTAAACAGATTGTCCTAATATCTAACTTTACCTGCAACGCACACCTGTTTCATTGCTGTTAATGTTTCAATCACACTGGGGGGGGGTCAGAAAATTTCTTCTTTTATGAGGGGGGAGACACAAAAAGTTTGCCTTCAGTCTGGAGAGGGGGGGGTCCTAAAAAGTTTTCAATCCTTATTTTCCCCATTTCCCAACCCCCCTCTCCCCATAAATAATGACCACCCCTTAATAAAACATATCCTCGAAACCGGATCATTGTCAAACGAAAGCCCAAAGGAGAATCTCGATCTCATGAGGTTTTCCATTTCTTTACGGCGTCACGGAGCTGTCCACTATTATTCTAGTGGCGGTATGAAGTTGATCATGCAATGAAGAAAGATATGGGACATGTCTATTCACTCCACAGAAGAACAAAAACAGAATGTGTCTCTTTGTGCCGCTACGCATAGACCAACGTCCAACGACTAAATGAGGAGAGAAATGGTCGATTTAGGCCAACATGTTGTAGACATTCATGAACAAGCTACAAAAGACAAAGAGGGAAAATAATATAAATATAAAAAACCTAGTGACTGATCATGAGATGATTTTGTTAAGAGTTGCCCTTTGGTAGCATATTCTTTGCCAACTCACTTCAAGAATAAGCATTGCGGAATTTTTCAAATATGAGGAAAAAGAGTTGTGTAAGGATGTCACCGTTTAATTCTTCTATATTTATTGAATACATGAAGAATACTTTTGCAACAAGTTTTGCTGGACCAAAGCAGAATGGTTTCAATTTTTTGCTAAATTCACCGCCGATTTTAATATGTTCCTGACGCAAGGAGTAAAAAAAGACAAGAAATTGCGACGAATCTTCTAATGAATGAGAGTGAAAGTATAACAACGAAAATATAGAGTTCAAAAAGAAAGGATAAGCATAGAGGAACCATTTCCCGGTATATGCTGATGCTGCAGGAAAGAACAGCATGATAGAAATTTCAGCCGTTGGTCTATGAGCAGAACGTTGGTCTACGAGTGCGCTATGAGCAGGACTTTGTAGTAGAAATGCCATTTTATTTTTACGGAGTGGATAACACATATATCCCTGCATGAATCAATTTGATACGGCCTATGATCCGCCCATGCCACTCAGTGGGCAGCGCCGTAGCGCGTGGGGAAATTGAAAGCCACAGAGATTTACGCTGACAATTTTGACAATGGTTAATTAAGTTTTGGGTGTAGATACACACTTTTAGTAAGTCATATAAAGATCCGCCATATAACTTCATACTCAGGCTCAATTTTAAATTCTTCTAAGGGGCGGACCATTTGATTTTTGAGGGGGGGAAGATTCAGACTGTGCAAGAAATTTTTTCCGCCCAAGGGAATAAGACAGATATTTTTTTCCTGTAAAAGTGTATGGCAAGATATTTTTTCCCAATATATTTCGCGGCAGGATATTTTTTCCCCTCATAATATAACTGCTTACAGTAACTTAAGGCTTTCATATAGCTATCGTTAGAGACGTAGCCGGGGTTTTGAGTCAGAAGAGGCCGAGCCTGAATCCCAAGAGGGGCCAAGGAATTTTCACTGTGCTTTATTTTATATGGTTATGTCTTAATGTTCCCCACACTAAAGCGTGCAAGTTTACTTACAAAAAATGTATAACTGCACCAAAACCTAAAGCATGCAGAGATATAGAGTAGAGTACTCGAAAATGGGGGAGGTACAGTATATGAATGACCTGTAACCTTGGGGGGTTCGGGGGCATGCTCTCCCGAGAAAATTTTAAAATTTGAACCTCGGAAATGCTATTTCCTGCGTTTTCAGCCATGGATTCGTCCAACAACTTTGCTGTACTAAGCCTAAGGAACACTTACTGTCCTTTATTTTAAACAAGGGAAAATCACAAAATGAGCTTTGATTAATATGTAATAAAACAAGATTTCAATTATAATGCGATTTTTAACTGCCCTCCGAAACAACAATGTTGCACCAAATATAGTTCTGTAGCTTTTCAATCGTTCATACAAATAGCTTGTTGGGGGATCGGGTTGCATCCTCTTCGGAAATTTTTTAAAATCTAGACTCTCTAAACTGGCATTTTCGCATTAAAATCATCGTATATACAGTACGTTCAACTTGCATCCTGTAGATGGGCCTTTGAAACTTTAATAGTTTGGAGCTATGTTATCAAAAAACGCACACAAACTCAACCATCCAAAAATACTTTTTCCACCATGCATATTAGATATGTATAAATAACTTATAAACTTGTACATATCTTAAGCCCAGATTTTCTCAGGGGGGCAACAATTTTGTCAAGGAACGCCACTAGCTATCGTATGTTATAGGCTCCAAAGGCGGTAGAATCCCTGTGATGTTGTCCACTGTTCACCCCGTGTTCTTTTAAGCAAATGTGCCTGCTCAAAAATGCAAAATCTTGCAAGCCTGTAGACACAATACTGAAGTGAAGAACGTCAGTAGATTTACATGTAGGATTTCATTTATTCATGAATTATTATTGTGATATTTTAGAACACATTCTAAAATATTGATTTATTCATGAATTATTATTGTGATATTCTAATACATTTTTCCTCATTTTTCCTTTCAATTATTCCGTGATGAAAATTAATTAAAATTGTACTAATTAACGAATTTATTAAATGATGTCACAGACAACGTACGTATTAATTAGTTACCCACAATCCTTTGTTCTGGTGCAAACTATAAAAACATTGTGATGTCACAATGCAGTTAGTCATAATTGATCGACTGAGGCTGCGCACTTAATTAAACGTTAAGCCCCTCGCAGAAATCTTCCAGACATTTTTGTGTGATGAAACGCGGAAAGTGGCTCAATGAAACAACACTGGGTCATTTCATTGAAAAAAAGAAAGCTCAAGATGAAAAACTCCAAGCTTTGTTGCAAGGTAAAACAAAGGTAAAAATTTCAATAATATATCTGAAATTGTGTAGTGATGAACAACTTTTAACAATTTTAATGCTTTCTCTGATCTGCATTTCCGCGCGCATTTTCCCATCATTATGAAACTATTAAACTTGGCAATGGCTTCGCGTGCGCAAACTTTCAGTTTTCGTTACTACCATGCAATGACGCTTGTGATTACTCATAATACTCAAGATACAGGGAAAAGAATATTATCACGAAAAACACACAACTGGTGTTTTAGTTGAGAAAGACGCAAAAACCACAGATGAAGGAACGAACGTCTGTAAAATTACCTCCAAATTGGACATATCTAATCTACCTGTGACAATAAGGAAAACTCTGATGACAATAAATTGTAAACGATTGGTGTTGATCATACAGATGAATTATAACAGAAAAACCGAGCGCAATCATCCCTAAAACTATTAATAGGCCTGGTAGTAAATTATTACCACAGAGTTGAACACAACCGTTGGCCTAAATTCGACAACCAACATCAATGGCACAACGAACGTGAACGATGTACGACAGATGTTCTTAAACATGCTTTAATTTAAGGAATGGCCATGGTTCATCAGATGGTCTGGAACGATAGCTGTCCGCTACAATCAAATGCATGGACAGACTTGTTCTGAAAGACAAGACACTGACGGTGTCCACTCATGCAGAGCTGAGGCCATTTCAGGTGTCGGGCGCCGGGCCTCAACCAGAGTGTGAGCAGCCTCGTTCTGGGTGTGTGGACACCGAAACTGCGATGTTTTCAGAACAAGTTGTCACAGACCTAGCTGGAGACGACAGGGCGAGAAAGCCGGCTGGAGTGTTGAAATATTGGGTCGTAAATTGTTTGGTCGGGCTTTGCATTTGTTTATTTAAGAACCAGAATGGTGAGAGAAAACATAACTGATATTAAAGCTAAAGTGTCGATGAAATTTCATGGACAATTTATTTCCTTGTTCTGCTTTTGTTTTAAAAGTCAAGAATCAGCAGCTAAGTTTCAACGCCAGTATTAGCAGCAGAGAATATCATATATAGGCCTTATAAATTTGGTAATCAGGTTGTCTGACTGATTATCATATAATCAGTGACAGTGATTGACAGTGAGTGAATGTTTTTCTCAAATTTAAAAAGCTGCGCATGCGGATTGAGAGGGATTCAACTATTTTAATTTTAATTTTAATTTTACAAGATTCGCCAAACATAACAGACATAAATAAGACTAATACTTTACAAAATTTACATACAATTCGGGCAGGGACTAGCCACAGAGATAATCTCCAATTATGGGGCCCCTCACAATAAGTTACAATATATAACATTAAAACGAATTATGCTAAAATGTCAACAACATGTCCTCACTAATAAACTATCAAGAGACCGAGTTGAGTGGCATTTGACGCACACAGACTTAAATGTTCTAGGATTGTCCGGGTTGTATATTTGTTCTAAAAGGTTTAAGTAGTAATTGAATAAAGAGATTTTAAAGTAAGCTAATGATCTTGAAGTGTCACGAATATTGCTAGGGAGAATGTTCCATACGCTAGGCGCTCTCACATAGAAATTGTTCTTGTAGCTAACTGTCCTGCATCGAGATACATTAAGAAGAACACCATTGACAGGGTCAGCGTTTCTAGTCGTCCGGGTGGTTGTTCGTATTGACACATTGACATCGTTGCTTAGAATACTCTTGTAAAGAAAAACTAAGTCTAGAAATTCGTGCCAGTAGCAGACCGGGAGAATACCGATAACCAGTAGTCGTTCCCTGTATGTTGTGGCTGTTCTGTAAGGAAGGGAAAGGATGAATTTGGTCGCGCGACGTTGAACCCGTTCTATTGACAGTATGTCGCTGACAGTTTGAGGTGCCCACACCTGGCTGGCATATCCTAACTTGCTGCGCACTAAGGACAGGTACAACACCTTTCGCACGTGGATGTTATGCGTGTCGGATGCTGTTCGACGAATGAAGCCTAGCATTGAGCTCGCTTTTGATGTTATTTCTTCAACCTGTTTCGTCCACTTGAGATCTTTTGTGACAACAATCCCAAGGTCTTTTTGGTGACATAGTTGCCTCAGAGAACTATCCAGTAGTTTATAATTTGTTGTGACTGGTTGGCGACTTCTTGTGAAGCTCATTACTCTGCATTTAGACTTATTTAAGTCCATCTTCCAGATAGTACACCAGTTCACGAGATTATTGAGATCATTCTGCAGACTTTCGCAATTGGGTAAATCTTTCACCGGACGGTAGCACTTGGTATCATCGGCAAACATTGCCACAGTTGATTCGCCCGAGATGGAATGTGGAAGATCGTTCACATATACTAGGAAAAGGAGGGGCCCCAAGATTGATCCCTGAGGAACTCCAGACAGTACAGGGAGTGTACCCGAGGTCTCACCCAGAACAGTGACTCTTTGGTAGCAGCCGGAGAGATAATTTTCAAACCAACTTAGTAGGTCACCTCTTACTCCAAACTTGTGAAGTTTAGTCAACAAAAGCTTATGACTAACCTTGTCAAACGCTTTTGCAAAGTCCAAATACACAGCGTCGACTTGGTTTCGACTCTCCAACGCTTGGTGAATATCCTGGAGAACGTGCAGAAGCTGTGAGGTGGTTGATTTGCCTCTGAGGAAACCGAATTGTAGATGGTGGAGTTGAGTGAAAATGTGTGATACGAGTTGGTTGTAGACACAACGTTCGAAGACTTTGGAGACCAGGGACAACAGAGATATTGGTCGATAGTTTGATACATCTTCAGCTGGACCTTTCTTTGGGATTGGAACAATATTGGAGAGTTTCCACTCATTTGGAAGTTTACCCAGAGATAAACTCTTGTTGAAGAGATCACATAGCGATAAATAAATACTGGACGCACAGTTTTTGAGGAGTTTCGCTGGTATTTTGTCAGGGTCAGCGATATGTACCTATTCATCGAAAAGGGTATTCGGGTGGAATCAGCACCATCACCAAAAGGTATGCCAGGGCAGATAATAAGTATATCGAACTTTCTAAGAACCTAACCTGGTTGGAAAGATTCAAAAAGTGGATGGGAAAAAAGTTTTCCGATCTATCATCCGTAATCATATCAATGCTTAGCATGATTATTTCGGCAATTACTGGCATTGAACCGGTAACCAATCGTGACGACAAGGGGCGGTCCACATACCTACCCTATATGGACCGCCCGAACAACCTGTACGGATGGGCAATGAGTCAACCTCTACCCATCAAGGATTCTAAGTGGATGGACGGCAGGCGACAGGGAACTGGAGAAGTGGACAGACTATAGCTGTATCCTCGAAGTGGATATGGAATATCCGGACGACTTACACAGCAAGCACAACGAATATCCCCTTGCACCCGAAAAAATAATAATTAACAAGGTGGAAAAACTCGTTCAGAACCTCAACGGCAAGGAAAAATACGTCCTTCACCATAAGAACTTGGAACAGTACCTGAACCTGGGGTTAAAGATCACTAGGATCCACCGCGGACTGAAATTCTACGAAAAGCCTTGGATAAAGGAATACATCCAACTCAACACGGACCTGCGTACAAAAGGCACTACGGACTTTGAGAAGGACTTCTTCAAGCTTATGAACAACTCGGTATTTGGAAAGACGATGGAAAATGTTAGGAATAGGGTCGACATAAGACTTGTTAATAACGAGAAGAAGTGGAACAAGTTGGCTCAAAACAACTACAAATCTGCGACCGTTTTTTCCGAAAACTTAGTGGCAGTCCATATAATGAAGACATCCGTAAAACTGAATAAACCTATATAATTGGGGATGAGCATCCTTGACATCAGTAAGACCCTCATGTATGACTTCCACTATAATTACATTAAACCAAAGTATGGGGATGATGCCAGGCTCCTATTCACGGACACGGACTCCCTATGCTACGAAATTAGGACCGAGGATTTTTTCAAGGACATATCCGAAGATGTTCACGAAAAGTTCGACACCAGCAATCTAGGTAAGGACCATCCATCCGGAATCCCAACGGGTGTGAACAAAAAAGTCATCGGGATGATGAAGCTGGAAACGGGTGCGAAACAAATTGAAGAGTTTGCGGGATTAAGGTCGAAGCTATATGCTTACAAAATAGCGGAAGGCGGCGGTGAGGGAAAGAAGTGTAAGGGAGTCAAGAAAGTAGTCATCAAAAAAGGAATAACATTCGAAAACTATAAGGAATGTCTCTTCAGTGGTGAGAAACAATGGAGGGGAATGAATGTCTTCAGAAGCAGGTTACACGAAATATATACGGAAAGGATCGTTAAGGTAGCCCTATCAGCAAATGATGACAAGAGGATAATTATGAATGATGGAATCCACACGCTAGCAATCGGGCACAAAAGCCTAAGACAGTAGAAATCAATTTTAATATTCGAAGGAACATTAAAATTCCGACGGGTCTACAGTAATTTTGTAATTACGAATCCAGACCCCAGTCCCAATATTCCAATCGTGATCTGTTGGTATTCTTCCATTTCGCTTGATGGTTTGTAGTAATCGTGAATCGTCGGTTCCCTATCCAGGGTCAGTTCCTCCTGCGCTTTCCGCAGGGAGTCAAGAGCACGGTTTGTCGTTTCCATATCCGATTTAGCGTCGACTAGTTCCTGCCTGAGTATTGCAATTCTGTTCTTTTTTTCCACTTGACTTTCATACCATTTTTCCTTAGCCTTGGCTAATTTTCCCAACGCTTTGTTGTGTCTTTTCATTTCGCCCTCGTATCCACTGTGGTTTAATTTGCTGAACAGGTATCCGGCTCCTGCAAATGCTACGGCGTTGAATAGTCCTCCGACTACAACACTTGTCATCTTCTTTTATTATAGTGGTTTATTTGAATGGATCATCCGGTACTAGTTTTTTGAACTGTAGGTAGTGAACTCCAACCGCACCGACTCCAATGGCTACGGCTAGTTTTAGAATTCCTTTCGGATTGCTAGGTACTCCGAGACTATCGCCCGCAAATTTTTTGCTTACCACTGACACAGCGACTGCTCCAAATGTAATAAATCCGGCGTCGAAGGCCTCGTTCATAAAGTCCTTTCTATCTCCCATGTTTTATTATATGTGTTCTTATTTATTTTTTTCTTTTCCTGTATTCATTATACAGGAAGTAAGTTAATGCTAAGGCTAAAATCCAAAGATTCTTCGCCAGGAACGCAATACCCTTTGCTCCCCATGACAGAACCTTAGAGGTTTAGTACGGATGCTAGTACGGGTCCAATCTTCCCTTCTAGGTTTGCCATTGCTTTTGCGAACTTACTCGTTGCTCTCGCTCCCTTTTTTGCTACGCTTCTAGCCCCCATAATAATAGTGGTGATGATACCCGCCACAGATATTGCTACGGCTGATATTCCGGCTATATTTTCCTTTGCCCATTTCTTAAATCTTTCGAATCTTGTAAGATCGTTTATTTCCACCTCCTCTTCCACGATGGACATGGCTTTCGGTCCTTTTGGTCGTTCGTTTGATCTTAACCTTATTTCATCCGCTTTAAATTCTGCCATGTTTGCCATTGCTTCATACAGAAGAGCCTTTTGTTCACGTCCTGCAGTTCGTTCGGTTTTGGCCAGTTCTTTCCAATGATTTTTTTCCACCTCAAGATGCTCAATTTTTTGCTTACGTTCAGGATACCTCTCAGTTCCCTTAGTTCGTTTTCCGTTATAACTGTACTATTACCGATGGCTTCACTTTTGAACGGACAGTTCGTCATCCATTCTTTCAACGATATTTTCCAGTACGTTATCCACAAGTTCCTGGGAAGCATCTAGATTCTGTCGTTTGAGTTGTTCCTCCACTAAGGCTGCGGGTGTTTTTGAATGTTCTATTCTGGCTCTCCTGATCAGTTCTTTGTATTCGTTTACGACGGATTAATCCTTTTTCTTATCCGCGGAGTATATCATTTTACCATTTTTCGAGATAATGATCTTGACATCTTTGAATGTGGCACCGCTAATTTTTGTTCCGGCCTTATTTACGGTCAGTTTCATTTTGTCAAAGATGATGGTAAAAGATGGACCGTCTCCCTTATTGATATTTACTCCTAGTTCCCTTCTGAGGAAATCCTTTTTATCCAACGTATAGGCTCGTTTCATTACCCCAGCATCCCGTCTGATGTTCGGTGTGGAACCGCTGGGTCTTGATCCACCGACGTCCGGATTGAATCCGACGGGAATTAGTATACTTTCGTCCAGTCTCCCGTTGTCGTCAATGAAACTTGTTTCTTCCTCCGCCGTTCCAGCTTTTTCGGCTTCGCGGTCGTCGACGCGGTTTGTTTCGTCTAGTTCAATGTCAGCCATTTATTTTATATCCTTAATATTTTCTCCGGGAATCCAGGAATTGTGCTTACTATCGTATCATAACCACTTGACCAGTACCATACCCCCTTCCTTCTTCTCAGAATTTTCTCCACCCTATACACACCGTCCTTTTTGTCCACAGCGGATAGTTCCTCTTCGTAGAACTTGCCCATGATCGGTTCTCCGTCGTGGCTTTCTATTTCGTACATGTTAGGATCTCCCCTGAATACTTTTACAACTTTGAATATCTCTTCCGTAAAGTTTGCTTCGTATCCTTTGGTAAAGATATTTTTATACTTCGTTATTCGGACCGTATCATCAACCCTAAACTTAGGTAATGGAAATTTCCCTAACCCGTGACCGTATAGCGTGATCCATACCTGGTCCTTGTTCGACTTGCTTACGTCGACAGGTCTCATTAATATATTGCTGTGTTTGGTATGATTGTAGTTATTTGTAAGCTCGTCTATGGCGTCGACCCAATTGTAAGTCCCTTTGCTGTAGAAATACTTCCACATCATTGTCTTAAAGGTTGTGTTAAATCTTTCAACGATGGCCGCCTTTCTGTCAGAGTTTGTGGAAAAATAGCGGACGTCGTGTTTTTGCAAGAGGTTCCTAACACCAACGTTGTAGAATTCCTTTCCCTCGTCGAACTGGGCAACTTCCGGATATTTTCCAAACCTTTTCCTGAATTCCTCCAGTAATAAGTTCACAGACTTCGTCATGTTTTTCGTATCCTTTCTGTAGACGGGAATAGCAAATCCATACCGGCTCAGGATCTCTACAGCTGTTAGTATCCAGTAATATCCTTTGTTCTGATTTTTGTATTTTCCCATATCCACTAAATTCATCTGCACCTGGTCCGCCAGGTCCTTGACAAATGTCCTCTGAAATTTGTGTTTCCTAACGATAGGCTTATATCTTGTGTAGGTGTCTTGGGTCTTTAACCAGTCCTTTACTATTTTCCTACTAACGTCCAGTCCCTCCTCCTTTGCCTTACGGTAGAGCTTCTCCGCGGATTGATAACCGGTACCCGGATTGTAGTAAATATCCCTTAACCCTTGTTCGCTAATAAACTGTTCGTCTTCCATTTTATTTATGTGATATAAAATTCGAGGAGTGCGGACATATCAACCTTATCGTCGATGCTCGTATTGATACTGGAGAATCTGTTGTGGGAACCGTTATTAACATAAACTCTACTTCCAATATCCTTGAAAAACGTTGTTGTTCCGTTCAGATGCTGGTCAGATGTTACGGGTAACGTGCACACTGTAAAACTTTCTTTACCGTTTACGTCAAAATTTAGGGATGTATTAACAACATCACAGTCGATGGTAATATATTTAAGACCGTGATTGATACCTATAGGATAGGGAGATCTTTCCCACACTCCGGGGGTTAGGATCTCCGTTTCTGGGAATCCTATTAGTGGAGCAAATTCGTTTAAATGTAGGTCTGTCCCGGTTGCCGGGTAGATCCTGCAGGTATTGTTGTGTGTGTTACGTTCTATTTTTATTCCGTCTATCTTCAGTTTTTTCTTTATTGCATCAAAGGTGCAGTAGCCATCTTCGAAGGTAATCTTCTTCTGTCCATAGGTAATATTATCGTTGACATTCAAACGTATGTTTTTATAAGCCCAGTAGATGGTTGCATTCTTTAGGATTAGTTCTGACTTTACGTTCGTCGTAATACACTTGTCCGGCAAAAACTCGGTAGTTCCGTTTTCGATAAACACCGTTAACTTCTTCATTTTTATTATATGTATTAAATAAAATGAGTACCAGTGAAGACATCTTTCGTAACTATTACGGACAGAACTACGGAAAAGTAAAGGCGGCAGCACCCATTGAAAAACGGAAGATGAAGGAGGATTTTAGGAAAAAATATCCGGATGCGGAAATGTCTAAATTTGACTTTCAGGTCACATTTGCAAAGGATGGAACTTTGGAATCCAAGAACATATTCTTTAGGATTACGGATACGGAAAGTTACGACATCACATTCAGGGGAAATAGAAAGTGGACGTGGTACCTTTACCAATGGGAGAGAATATGGGGTAATTACGGAACCGTTCAAACCTTTAAACATAACAGGGATCCACTTCCGTACAGAATAAATAGGTTCGAAATTTACGTTTGCGACTGTATTAACACTTCCCACAACAGCTTTCTATCCAACTTCGACGATCTCGACACGAAGTGGTCCGGTACCGCAAAGGATATCACCAGGGTAAAGTTCGATTATATAAACGATCCCTATTTTGCATCGATACTTGCTGCTTACATTATTACGTATAAATGTGGGATAAGTACTGAACACCTGTTGGAAAGCAAAGGACCCTCAAAGGTAATCACAAGTATTGCTAGGTATCACCTATACTACCACATGCGCAGGTTCCTAAGAAATCCAAGCAAAATGACAAAATACGTAACGAAGGATATGCTAAAATCCCTGCAGAGAAACATGCCCACACAGAAAACGTGGATTAACAAATTTCATCGGGGACAAATGGAAATAAGTCTCTGGCATAGCAGAATTTCACAATTCATAGCTAAGAAATCGGACGGGCTGACACCTCTAGGATTAAAGTTACTTCTACAATCCGTCAAAAGTTATGTCTATTGCGTATTAGGTGCGCAGGCACAAACACGTTGGTCCATCGTTGGTAAGGGGGCGAAGTCCTTGCAAACTCAGGACGTATTCCACAAACTTTTCAAAGACACCATTGCGCAAGACTACTCTGGGGCGGTAAATCGCCTTAAATCGCTTTAAATCGTCTAAAATCGCATTAAATCGCGGGTTAAAATTGTCGAATTTCTCTTAAATCGCCTAAAATCGCTTAAGGTTACAGGACACCCTTGTTGGCGTTTTGCGGAAAATCGCTACTGCGCGCTCAATATCAGTCCGATTTTTATCAAATTTTCACCAAATGTTTTCCAGTGCATGTTTTAAGTTATATTTATGAAAATATCATTTTTATACAGTAAAATAGTTGTTCGAAAAAATTGTGTTCGGAAATTTTTGTTTATTTCGTCATTCCGCTGATATGGCGATTTCTTTGACGACTGCAATATATTTCTGAATTGTTTGAGTGAATTGCTCTTTATTTTTAAAATATCCAAAATTAAATAAAAGCCGAACACATTTTTGAAATTGACGTATTTAGCTATGTCCTGTGAAAATTTGAGAAAAATTGGTTAAAACCCGCAGGAGCATAACTCGTTTGAAAATCAGTAATTACCGTAAAGGTTTTCGTGAGAAAATTGAATTTGAATATTACATTTTCAATGTTTTTCTTATTGCAGCGAAATGTATTTTACTAAATAACTCTGCGAGTTTTCAACATTTTTCGTTCAAACTTGTTCAGATTGTAGAACTAGTCTAATGCTTTCATTGAAAGCGATAAAAAAATTTTAGGCAAAATTAACACTCAAAGGTGTTCTGTAACCTTAAAATCGCCAACATGCATTCTGTTTGATACATTCAGTCGATGTACTCAAGTTTATCAATTGCTGCTATTTTAAAGGGCAAATCATGTAATCCAGGTGCTTTGCAATCAAAACATGAATTAGCAATCAAATAAGTGGATTAGGCTGGCAATATTTGGTCACTCAATAGACACCGGTCATTGACAAAAACAGAGCCTTTTTCTGCTCTATGCAGACTTTACAATAATTAGGTAATTCTGGGATCTAAAAGACCCATAGATCCCATACACTACCAGCAACAAAATTGAGCTAGTTACCAGTTAATTTCATTATTGGTGTAAATGGAGGCTGGGCTACAATTTATATGGACTATGGAGGCTGGGCTAATCTATAATCTACATGGCTTCTCAAAGCCTAATTGCTGTTAATTAGAACAGCAGTAGAAGACTAGGAAAGTCAATGAGTACGAGTGTTGATTTATATAATAAAGTCATCCTGTAATTTGTGCACTGTTGCATGTAAGATCGAGCACTGCGTTGTATACAATGGTTGTACTTCGACATGTACATGGTTATACTCTAGCTCCTAGTTATAATTATAGTGGCTATCAAACGAAAAATATACGTGACGTTATGAGCGATTTGCAACTCTCATCTATTTAAATTTCCCAGACCTGTATATACAAATAATACAATAAACAGTAAATTAAACAATGATTACATCGTACATACTATACAATAGACCTTTTGTTGTTGTTTGTTTGCAGAACCTAAAACCACGGTGTAGTGCGCCATTTGTTTAATACTGTATTATTTTGTTTTTAATATCATTTTAGTCAATTTACTCGATTCTGATTGGTTAAAAACCGTGCCGATTAAACATTAATCGGCACAGTGTGCCGATTAAAGATTAATCGGCACGGATACGAGCCCGCGTGGATCATGCGTGGAGTAAACACAAAATGTCAACTTGAAAACAAACAACTTTAGTTGAAAATGTACATTTTCTGAGCTCTTAGTTTACAATGAACTCTTATTTATGCTTTCATAACGAAGAAAAAAGAAGAAATAAAGATTATTTACAGTTTTTACAGGGGCCTTACAGGTATGAATTGAAAATTAATGTCAGAAAGTGCTCTCAAAAATTGACCACATGCAGCGAGCAATGCTCGCTTGAATACAAATACAATGTTTCTTATCATTGATTGCTCGTGTAAAATTGACTGTAAAATGATATTAAT